CGCGGCCACGGCGGCAGCCGCCCTTCGCCCCGCCCCGCCGGGCGCTAAGCGATACCATTCCCCTCTCACCTTGGGGGGGGAATAACCCCCCCCACACCCGCAGAGAGGGCGTGAGCCGCCGAGCTCGGCGCATGCGCGAAGCCCGGGTGGTGGAGGCGGGGGGGGGAAGGCCTCCTCCTGAATGGCGGCGTTAGGTCAAATTCGGGCAGCCGCAAAGAATCTCCATCTCCCCTGAAAGGGAGCCTGTCCCCTCAGGCGGCTCGCAAGCCGCGTCCCAGAGCCTGCCCGGGCTCTGGAGTCAAAGGGGCCCGTCGTAGCCCTGCTGCAGCCTGCGCCTGTCCCCGCGGGCCTCTGCCCACCGCTGCGGCCTTCTGCGTCCTGCAGAGCGCTCACCTTTTATTTTCTCCCCCGTAACACCGCTTAGTGCTGCGCCCTTCCAGAGCCTGCTTTAGAATTCAGGCCACCTCCGTATCTTTCATTTTTTTTTATCCGGCTCCTGCAACGAAACCGGAGCTGAAATACCAAATTAATAAGCCCCTTGAAATAAAACAGCGCACATACCAAGAGGTAAGAAAGATCCCTTCTTTTATTATGATTTTGTTTTCTCCAAAGGCCATAAGTAGAAGTTCTCGTTGATTTCAACTGAGACACATGTCAGTTTGGGGGCCTTTATTTTAAGTAAATAAAGGGTTTTTTTTCAGATTGAAAGGGATAGAAGGATAGAGCTTTGGATAGAAGACTAATGCAGATTAGGTCAGTAGTATGCATAAGTAAGGGATATAAATTAAAATCTACCTAGAGTCCCTCACCAGAACACTTTTACACACTTGCTCTCATAAAATAGAGCGAGGCCTTCACAATAAAATAAAAAGCTGTAATTAAAACCCAGATAAAATAAACAAGCAAATCCTTTTTTTAAGGAGAGCTGTGCTCTGGAAAAAAAAAACAAGAAAAAAACATTTCAGAAGGAGCCATAACATTAGACCCTTTGGCCAGAAACCACTGAATGAAGGAGCAAACAGTTGACTGCTCATTTTCAGTAACTACCACATTACAAAGTCTCCACACGGACCCCAGCTACGGAACCGGATCAAGCACTTGTATGAATACCAGAATGCTTGGAGAGTCTTGTTCCACCCCTTCCGAAAGTGTTCTACAGGCAGGGAGGGCAGGAGAGCTGCTGCCTTTACTTGGTTTTTCTTCCACCACCTCCACAGAGGGTTGGAAACAAGAACCAGAAGTCAAACCACAGTTGGGGAAAGGAGAGCAAGAACCCCAAAACACAGAAAACTAAAGTCGATTACCAAAGGGAGACAGTCATCAGACACGTGCTTCCCACGTCATTGCACACATTCCTCTATTCTGACTTGATTAAAGCCCAGAGGAGGGCAGCACCATTCCTTTCAAGCATGCTAAGTGATTCAATCCCAAATATAGCAGATGGATAGATAGTTTCCACTAAAACCAGAAATACTAAACCAGTAGCAACACATTTAGTGATCCACCACAGGCAGTGCTAGAACGTTCATGGCTGCACACGTTGAACTGCAGTCCTAACAATTAATTTACATCTTCTCCTCACATCTCAACTACAGGTGTGTGAAACAACACCTCAGGCAGTAAAGGCCCAATTACACAGGTAGCTGCAGATGTATATTCTTGAGTCCGCCCAAGCATGCAGGCAATACTGGGAGGATGACATGTCCCAAAGAAAAGGTCTCACCTTGAAATATATGGTTCAGTCCACGTTCCAAAATTAAGACCTCTCACTGAGTAAGGAATAATTTCTTTTAGACTTGCAAAGCTTTAGAAAACACAGAAAATGTGTTTCAATGCCAAAAGAATTCACAGCGTCAGCATGATAATGAGTTCCTAACCCATTCATGTTATTCCCCAGGGAAGTCACAGACAACATGGAAAATAAAAGGGTAATAGTGTTTAGAGATCAGGTTAAGTAAAGGTGAAGAAAGTAATAATTAAAAAAAATAAAATCAAAAGTTCATGGAGTCATAACTTCATAATAATAATCAAAAAAGAGTGTATTAAAATGTTTTGCCCTATCTTTTTTAGAGATTATACATACTTAAAATACTATTTTCCAGGTAAACATATAATAAAAACATTATTCAAATAGCAATTAAGATATCTCACATTACAAGATTCTTTTAGAAAGCTTTCTCGTTACACCATTTTCAAGTATACCAGTCAGGTCAATCAGTCAGTGGTATAAAAAGCTTTTACTTTTTCTACTGCATTGTTTTCCCCATGCAGTTTCTCCTGGGCATCCAGTTCTTGTTCTGCAAGCACACAGTCCCCTGCTTTACGGGATTCTTGGATTTAGAAAGGCCACTTTTTTGTAGACAAAGGGAACTGCAAGCAGTAAGGGTCCCAGGTCCAGCCACTTACTGGCTCAGTCGGAATCATCATCACAACCATCACTGCCTTCAAGATCGCTGCTGTTCTGTAAAGTAAAATGGAAAATAGTTTGTATTTCATTTACATCTAGAGACTGACCTAAATCAGAGACATTGACTTTAAACATCTCCAAAAGTATAAGAAAATGGGGCTAGATCCCAACTTCATGTCTTAGACCCATCTATTGTAACAAACTTATGTGATGGTAAATGATGCTTCTTGGAACAAAAAAATTGTACATTGGACTACTCACCAGCAGAAGAAATTTCTTCTCATTTATATTTAGAACTGCACGATTACATCTGGCAGTATATAGGAAACTTAAAAGTGGGATAATAGCATGAAATGCTGATGTTTAAAATAAATGCAGGTGAGACAAGTTAACAAGTGCTTTTTTCATGCAAGTCCTTCCAAAGCTGTTTGCTACATCGTCTAAAGCCAGATTTGAGAATTTTATTTGTCTGCTGCAGAGAATTTATATCAAAACTGTATTAGACATATGCAAGGGCTCACCGATACTTGTTTAAAAATTAAGTCAGTTGTACAAAGCAGTATTAGGGAAATACAAATGTTAGCAACTTAGAAAGGAAACCGAAGTCTGAGTTCTTAACTGGGAGCCACTCCTTCAGGAGTAAGTCAATATGCTGCAATAAATTAGGGAGGTTTTTTGAAGCAAGTATTTTGACTGATATGATTGGCAACAAAGGATTTTATAAAGAAAGGCTAACATGACAATATGCCTGTAGTTACTCCTTTTTTTCCTCACCACCACTTGCTGAAAACATGTAAACCTCCAAATCCCATGAATTTAACATTGACAATTTAATATCCTACTACAAAAAAAAAATTCTGAGAGATTTAGACAGTTGCCTTTGTAACAGCAAGCACAGCTTATTGAAGTGCCAACAGCCTGCAAAATCTCAAAGGAGTCTGTCATACCATCCTTTATTTATCCTTCTCCAGACAGCTTGTTCTAACTATGATGCCAAAACTGTATTTGGTCAAGTTCATCCAAAGCAAGCAGACCTGCCTCCTACTAGCAATACATCAGTGATTTTGAACCTGTCAGCAGTAAGTCCTGTCAACATTATCATCAAGACCCCTGAGCCGGATAAGGACTCTGCACCATATGGTCTCTTTGGGTCCCCTTTAACCAAACTCATGTGGCATTTGTCATAACGTCCTGTCACAGATGTCCTCATACAGCAGTATACTTCAGAAAAACAATTACCACAAGTACAAAAATAACCCTGAGAAATTTCTGGTATTTTGCTTGTACTATTCAACATGGCTGTAAATTTTATTTTATATGTTGAAACTCTTTCTCATACTCAAAAAAAAATGGCAGAGACAGGATTAAACCTAACGTTCTTCAGAGCAGGATGATTACCTGCACAACATAAAGCTAATGTTAAGGACTCCATTAAGTGAAAAAAGGTCATTATTTTCTTCTGAGTTGCACTACACAGAAGTTTTAGCCCTGCCCATCACTCATCCTTCGAGGATCTGCCAGCCCTCTGACCAAGAAAATTTGAATTACATGTAGAACTGTAAGGTTCTTCAGGTCACCAAGTCCAATGCCCCACTCAAGCAGAGCTTGCTTCAAAGTTAGATCGGATTGATCAGGGACTTGTCCAATCAAACACTGCTGTATTTTAAGTCACTTCAGTGGTTGTCAGTTTAAAGAAATACTTTGTGAGTTTGACTCAAGCTTCCTCGTGTGGTTTCCAACCTCCTTCTAGCATGCCCCAAACATCTTTCAGCTCTTTTCTTGTGAGGCTATTCTACATCTCAACCAGAAAAAAAATTTAACTTAAATTGAAATTTTCTTTTTATTAAAAACGTATTCTACACCTTTGTTTTACTGCAACTTACAGCCAACAGCATTCCTACTGTCAGAAATCAGATTCCGCCATATCCTGTTTCACTCAGTAGTTGTTCTGATGACCCATTTTGAGCTCATGGCAGATTTACTTTAAAAAGCTGGTCCTAAATTCCACACCCCCCCCACCCCCCCCACCCCCGATTCCAAACCTTATCTAGCGAACAGGGCATTACACAAAATGAGAATTAGCCCAAAATCATAGAATACAAAAAGCCAGCAGGTATTTAAAGATAAATTGTCAACCTGAAAACTAGTCTCTCAAACAGCTTCACAATAGCAAAGGCTGGTAACATGTCCACAATTTCTGTTGCCAGTTTATGATTCTGCAGATTGGCCTGTGCTTTAAAGCATTCCTTCCTCCCTCCCTCCCTCATCTGCCCCATGCAAAACCCTGCAAAAATAACACTCTGTACAGTTCATTCCACTATCATCAAGTGCACAAAGACAGAAAAGATAACACACATTTCATACTCCAGATGACTGTCATCTTCCACGGCACATTCACAGAAAACAAAAACGTTACTAAGGGAAGGGCCACTTCAACTTGACAGCTTCCATTTGATAAAATAATAGCTTCAATCATTACCTTTGAATTTTTGTTGTTAGCTTGCATCCCAACAGCAGAAGAGTTGAAGTCATGAATGGAGAGGGTGTTTAGCCAGTTTGCCATGGATTTCTCCTCCCTTTCTGTGTTGATAATGGTAGGATAGATATACTGCTCTTTGAAAACAGCAATCTTCTCCTCCTCCTCTGTCCACTCCAGTGGCTCATGCAGCCCATCATTTCCAAAACGTCTGTTGTATTTTTCAAAGTGTACTCTTTCCAAGACCAACCCAAGTCCTGGGGCTTTGGGGACATCTACTTTCTCCTCTCCCCAGCTGCGCTCTATGATAGACTCAGCAGCATAACCTTTCACAATAGCTATCACCAGCCCAATCATCTTCCTTATTTGGTGCATCATGAAACTCTGACCTTTCACTCTGATCACTGCAAATTCCATGTTTTCCCTCACAAACGGCTCTCCACAGTACATCTCCATTATGTACCGCTTGGCACTGGGGTCCCTGGGTCCCTTCTGAGATGTGAAGTTGTGGAAGTTGTGTGTTCCTTTATAGCATGCAAGCAGTTTATTGACTTTTGCAAGGGTCTCTTTGTCCAGTCGATAAACCTCTTCTTGCACATCGTGGTCTTTATGGGCAAAGGCAAATGTTGGCAGCATGTAAGAGTAGGTTCTGGCATCACATTTGTTCTTGGAGTTGAATCCTCCAGTGACTCTCTTCAGACCTTGTTTTAAAAGTGACATTAGGTTTTTGAATCGGTAGGTTAAAACCTGATTGTGATCTCACCCCTACCAATAAGAATATTTTTCAAGTAAAATACAATCAAAAGATAACTTATTTTATAGGACCCTAATTTCAAACTAAGGGAAACATACAGATTTATGTTAAAACTAAACTGCTTATGAGTAAAATTATAATGGTAAGGGAGAGACCTTCTGCAGGAAAAAGCTGCTCTTTGAAAACATTTTCTCTGCCCATTCCAGTATCCTTACCCAGAATTCTGATGTGAGAAGGAAGATGGTTATTGATCTTTTCTAAGATGTCATCTATTAGCCTGACCTTTAGCGACACAATCTGTCCAGCTGCAGACACACCCTATAAAAACCATAAAACACACAAACACATAATTATGTACCTTGGAAGGTCTGGGATAGCACTTGCAGAATTGAAACAGCTGAAGAACAAGTTTATTCCTTTTTCTCACTGGTTATTTCAGGCTGAAGCGAGGCAAAGGCAAGGCCACAGGCAGAAATCCAAGTCGGAGTACTCCTGGAAGACCTGCTGGTGCTGTATAGCCATACAGCACCATAGCAGTCTTAGACAGCAGAACACTGCACTCCCTTCCATGCCATCGCACTCTATTTGACTGCTATTAAGTACAGCACCAACTGAAAAGAAATTACTTATACATAAGATCAGCCACGAACTCCAGTTCAGACTCAGAATCCCACTGTGGCAGGCTTAAAAACAACTGAGATGCAGCTAAACTCTCAAGCACCGCATCAACCAGGCAGCAACAACAATGAGAAGCAGCAGCAGGAAGTTGGGAGGCTGAAGCAGATGAATGTGACAGAAACACAAAGCTTAGGTATGAAGCACCAGCTTTACAAATACCATCTAATCAATATCCTGCGCTTTCTAAATATTTGCTTGCTCTTAAGTTTAGTAGTGGATGAAAGGAGAAGTTTCAAGCAGCATTAACTGTGAATAGTATTTGCTATTGGATCTCACTCTAGAGAACGCTTTACCAGTCAATCCCCGTAGCACTGGCAGGGGTGCACCAGAGTTTATGAGAGCACAGGCCCTAACCAACCTACCTTATCTGTTCGAGCACACCGTTGAAAAGACATTTTCTTCATATCTTCCCCATGGTTTTCTGGGATACAGCCTGATTGAACGAGGGCAGATACTAAGTCATCTTCAATTGTCTTGAACTGCGAAGATCCCACGTTTCTCTAAAAGAGGATATATAGTAAAAATAAGAACAAAGAGTAATAATTGGATAACTGAAGATGACAACTGAAAAATTTTGTTAATCAAACATTGCTGTGAAATTCTTTAAAAGTCTTCCCTTCACAGCCCTAAAAGCACTGCCATTCTCTAACAAGACTAACTATACTCTACCAGAGTGTGTTAATGAAATGTCTACATTCTGATTTACTTTTGACTGTTATTGCAAGTAAAGGATCATTTCTAATTTCACTGTGCAATACTTCCGCAATGGAGTTTTTTGAGGATTCCTTCAACTGCATGAAACAACACCAATGAAACACTGTTTCAGTGCCTGCAAGTTCACAGCTGCTGCTCAAAACCTAGCCTCTGCAAATTCTGTTTCTAAAAATTAGCTGGGGTTCTTTTGCTCAGTTCACCTGAGCTATTGTGTAACGCAGACTATGGTTTTCTCCAGTGACTTCTGCACTCAACTCACAGATGAGCTTAACAGAAACGCACAGCCTTGTGTGTAAGGCTGCAAAGCACACACCCTTGACACGTACCATTCAATTACAAGAGCAGTAAAGTTGATAGGCACTTATACGGATGTGCCCACAAGCATAAGGTTTACTGTTGCTGAACAAATCTACTTTGCTGCATAAGCATGAAAGACTCCCTTCCCTGTCTGTATGCAATCTTATCAATTATCCCGTGGAGCTTTTAAAGTACGCCTCAAGAGTGTGTATGAGGCTTGCAGTACGCCGAGAGGAGCAGCAGATGGAGCAAGATCATCCCCTTGCTGCCAATACTGTGTGCAGCAAGACCGTCCCTGCACTGGCAGGTCTGGTGCTGGGGCTATGCTCAAATGCTGGTGCTGTAACAAAGCAACATCCCTTTTCTTCCACATACAAACATAGAAGTCTTGCAACAGTTTTCCTGTTTCTAAACTGCTACAAGCCACCCCATTAGAGTGCATCAGAAAAAGGAGGATTTAAAACGTCTTCAGGTACCAGGTAATCTTTTTAAAAGTACAAGAGACAGCAACATAGATGCAAATTTGTTTCATTCAAATACTCAGCCCAGTTCTCCGGAATCTGCGTGTATGGTGAGACAACTTGAGGTCTAACCTAAAAGAAACTTAGCCCAACTGCTTTGAAAAGTAAAGCTTCAACCACAAGCTGGAGCACTGGTGAAAAGGGGATCACTACACAGCGCTTCAGGTTTTGACAGAACTGCAGAGCCCGTGCTTTTAGTCTCCTCAAGAGCCTTCTCTGCAGCAGTTTTTGAAAGATCTTCTGCTGAAGCTCTATACTAAAGGCAGACTCACTAGAATCACCAAGTAGCAGAGATGTACCACTGACTTTTTTTTATTCAAGTTACTACCGAGCCGTGTGAATCCAGGCATGCACTGTTCCTGCCCTGGCTTTTCAAGCTGCAACTGCTTCCCTACTCAGTCATGATGACTACAGTTATAAACCTAACAGACTTCAGAAAAAAAAGCTGGCCACGTTGTTTTGCCAAACCACGTACTTGCATCCCATGGTAGCCTTTCCCTGAATATGCCATCAACAACACAATCTTCCTTTTGGGTGACTTTTTACTCTGATCCTCCGTGTCTTCCTCATCCGCATCTCTCTTCAACCTTTTATTTTGATGTCCGTTTTCTTCTAGCCTTTCAACCACCTCACTGCTGCTGTTCAGTCTCTTCGCCGGGCTGGCAACCGCCGCTCTCAAATCCTCAGCCATTGTGAGAACCTGCAAGGGACAGGACAGCAGAGAGGAGTCGGCAAGAAGCTGAGGCAAAAAGCGACCGCTCCATCCCGCGGAGCAGCAGAGGGGGGCACCCAGGGCTGTTGAACAAGCTGCGGGCAGGAAGGTCGCCCGCCCCCCGCTCCCTCCTAGGCCGCGTCGCCTCCCCCACGGCAGCCGCCGTCCGCCGAAGGAGAAGGGAAGCCGGGCCTGCACGGCCTGGCCCGCACGGCAGCCCGGCGGGCCTGCCAGGAAGACCGGCGTGCCGAGGAGGAGGAGGAGGCGGCGG